TTTCCACTCCACTCCATCAGGGCGGCGGCGTGTTGTAGCAGGAATTACGCCAAGAGCTCTGCATAAAATGAGGCGCCAGGGCAAGATGGGCCGGGCAGGCTTCTTTGCACCCCGCCCGGCGGCCACCCGCCCCTGGAGAGCAGTAAACTAACGCCGCGGCGGGGCCTCCCGAGCGCGGCCGATGGCACCGCGCCCGTCCTCCTGGGGGACGTGTCGGAGGCCGTGGAGGAGTGTCGTGGGGGCCTCAAAGTGGCTTTCAATGCTGGAGTGCAGCGGCCGGCGGCAGCGGCGGCACACTCCAGTGCACTCTAGGCGCGCGGGGCGCGGGGCGCGAGAGTCTCCCGGGGAAGGACTCTTCCGGGCGGGGAATATTGGGGGAAGAAAGGTCGACCGGCAGCAGGACAACGGACACCCACAGCCAGCGGCAGGTCTCTCGTTTCAGGTAGACTACAGACGCAGCGTCGCACGCGCTCCGAGACCGTTCCTCATCGACCTTCCACCGCCGAGCACGGTGCGGACACGGTTGAAATGCGTCGCCGAAGAAGCGCCTTTCGACCAGAACGCCCTCACCTCACTCCCGTCAACCTATTAAGGGCCCAATGGGGTCGCCAAGCGCAGTCGCTGCGGGCGGGGCGGAGCTCGCCCGCCCTGCCAAGAGACGATCGGCGACGTCGTCGTCCCCCGCCCGCGGCTGGGAGAGGGCGTTCTGCTTGTACAGCGGCGTGGCGTGGCGTGGCGTAGCGCACCGTTATGGTGGGGTCGTTGGGCGCCATCGGCATTTATGCGCGATAGCGTGATGCGTTTGGGTTCGGGGTGGGCGGCCCACTGGGCGGGGCGGGCGGCGCTCGGGGGCCCTGTTGCGGAGCCCCAGACCAGGACCAGACCGACGACGTGCAGGGGTAAAAGTATTATTGAAAAGCATCCGGCTGGGAGGGGGAGACGGATGCCCTGGCAGATAAGGGACCCCGAGAAAGCAAGCATTCCAGCCCAACAGCGCATGAGGTGCGGTGCGCGGGGTGTATGTGTGTGTACGCCCCCGTGCTGGGACGGGGCGCAGCAGTGGGGCAGGGCGGACTGAGGTGAACCCCCTGACACATGGTACATGCTCCCTGCGCCGGGGATGCGTCTCGCCCGCCATGGGCACGCCCCCCCCCCCCCACCTAACGAAGCAGCAATGAGGGCACGACACCACACCGGCCAGACACCACGGCCAGCAGCCGGACCCTCCCGGGCCCCGGCCCCGGGTTCGCCCCTGCAGAGAGGCTGACCTATTTAACAAAGTTCATAGACGGCAACTCCCGACACTCCCACTCGTCGATATAATTACCACGGCTGCGCCTCAAGTTTCCCCGCCCAGGGTCGCAGTGACCCGCTTTTCCCGACACGCCCATCCCCGCGACACCTGTGGCGTTGCGGGCGACATTTTTCCGCCGAGGAAGGTGTGAGACGGCGGGTTGCGGGGTGCCATGAGGGTAGGGTGGCAAGGCAAGGAACAGGCTAGCCAGGGCCGAGACAGGTTGTCGCGGGCTGCTGCTGCTGGACCGCTTCCAACGTGTCGCTACAAGGCAGGGGTTGCGCGACACTTTAGCTTTAGGCTAGGCGAGGACGCGCGGCGGGGTGCGGTGCACTGCTAAAGGTGCAACGTAGTCGGTGCACTTAGTGGTTGGAAACGATGCTGGGAAATGCTCCGGTTTTATTAATTATTGTAAAGCTGTAGTTGTAGAGGAGTAGTCGGTGGTCGGGCCACGGCGCCTTATGGCGCGCGAGTAGGCAACCCGCTCGCATCCGCGTACGCCTGTTGCCTACTCGCTCGAGATAAGGCGCTATGGTACGGGGGGAGGAGGCACGCACACCCAGCCGCCTACGCGTCTGCGTGCCGTACAGTATATCTGAAAGATCCGAAGAAACTTGTTCTCCAAGCTGTCGGCCTTTTCATATTGATGATTGTAGTGTAGGTGCCTTGACGAACTCTTCAGGAGCCTTAAATAAAGTGCTGCTGAACAATTTCCATTTTCCGTGGGGCCATTTTCCTGTTGTCAAAGGCAGGCCTTACTTTCGAGGAGGAGGGGGGGGGTCTCAATTTTCACCAAAGGCATATGATAATTTTGGGTCGGACGGTACTACGACATCATTAGGTTGGTGCCCACCATAGAGTCTTCGAAAGGGAAAAAACGCACAGCCAAAAATTAACAACGCATGCGGGGTATTGTGCCCCTTGGTTGCACCCGGGAAGATTTTCGAAACATGTGCAGATTAGGAAGGATTGTTGTAAAAGATTTCGACGGATTCTAAAGATTCGGAAAAAATTGAAGGAATTAGAGGAGATTGGTGAGGATTGGGGTAAGATTGGAAGGTATTCCCAAGGATTTGGAGAACAATTTGAATGGTTTGGAGACGAATTTTGCCAGGATTAAATTTATTGGTATGGTCGGCTGGGTTCGATGATGGGATTGGTGCAGATAGTTCAGTATTAGACAGAATTAGGGCGAGATTGGGGACATCGTGACGATGATTCAAGGAAAATTAGGGACATTTTTAAGGGGCTTTGAATTTGCGGGATTTGGCGGATAGGAAAGATATGGGTGTATTTTGGATTGGAAGCGATTTGAAAAGATTCGGAGGGATTTGAGGAGGTTGCATTGAAAAGGTATTTCTCTAGTGCGTAGGAGTTATGTACCCTTCTCCCATGAGGCTAAATTTCACTCTGTTTGCCAACCCTGCTAACGATAGGGCACCGCGATTGCAGTCCACCCTGCTACGTCGTTACAGTATTTGATCATATCCAAGGAGAACATTTTAGGTGGCCATAGTCCTGTCCGAAATCCGAAGGTGGTAGAGGAATACGAGGTTGACTGAACACGTTAAAAACGCCACCAGCAGGCCAGGCAGGCAGGTCAGGCCCCTGCTGAAGGAAGTTGCCGGCACAGCATATTGGCGCTGGCAACCCTGATGAAACTGCTGGATAGATTCAGAACAAGAGGATGCGTTTTGGATAAGCTAGCCAAAATCGTTTCCTAATATGCTCGTAAGTAGAACTCCACCAGCTTTCAACTTTTCACTATTGAAGCCCCCAAAGTTCCCACCATTTCCTACCCAGACAGCTTAGAACGCCTACCGTGTAGTTTTACTGATATTTACAGCTATTAAACGACAATATCCCAGTCTACGACAGCTGTTAAAACCTATCACACTACCATACCGCATGCAGGCGTTTGGAGGCGTTGCCTACTCTAAACAGGGCCCGAAGGCGCCGAAGTGAGAGACGGTTAGCTAGCCCACCTACACGGCTGCACGGCTACAATTTAAATAATACTAAATACTCTGGGGTCCGTGGGCCAGCCAGTATTAAACGGCTCTTGCGGAGACTTCACGATACCATTAATTGTTGTACTCGTATAGCTAGACAAGGCCCTAAAATCCACTGCCTCTGACTACAATAACGTATTCACGTGCACAAAACACAGCAATAAAACGCCACCGAGCGCCACGATTCGCCTACAGTATAACCTCTACATATACATGATGACACTCACCTAATCTGTTGTCTACGGGTCGTCGGCCACGATGGTCACCGTCCTCCCGCCCGGGCCCGGGGGCGGCGGTCCAAGCGCCGAGCGCTACATGCCAACAAGGTAATCCTCTCGGGGGCGGCACTCACGACACTCGTCTAGCGACACGACCGGTGGCGCTGGGCGCAGAGCGCGGCTGGCCTGGGTGCTGCTGGGGGGTTGTGTTGCCGGCACCACGCTCTGAGCGCCACTGCGCGGCCCGAAGACCGCCGCGCCTCCGGCTGCTCGCCACCCCACCACCACCCCAACCAGCCCCCCCACCCCTCCGTCGCTCTGTTGCGCCGCGGAGCCACCCCGCCGTTGCATGCGCCCTGCAACACAAAACAAAATGATATAATTGGCAATTAAATTAAGCGAGACGGCCATCAGGACGCGGCAACCACGCAGGTCTGGGGCGTGACCTGGTCCTGGCGGCCCCGGGCCGGGTGGGGCACCAAGCGCAAGCGGGGCAGGCTGAGGGGGGAGGGGATGGGAATCATCCACAAGCTGCTGCGGCCTGAATAGCAAAGGCCAGCAGAGAAGAAAATAAGCGAAAGCAAATTTAAAAACTGCTGCTGAGCCTGTATTAGCCCCGTTGGTCATCCCCTGCTCTCGCCCTGCGCCGCTGCCCAACTCCAAGTGACCTGGAAGGATTACAGCCGGAGATCAAAGGCCTGGGGCCGAGGAGGGGGTACATACCTTGAGGATTTCACAGTCGGCCGGACGTTGTTGGGCACCGGGAGAAGGCCAGCCGACAGACGAGCATAGCCGCCTGCAAGGGCAAGGACGTCCATGTTCGTCCAGCTGCTGGCGACGCGGGGCTCGGACCAGCCTCCAAGGGACCACCAACGAGTCAGAAACCTTGCATACGAACTCGAAGCCCCGCAGATCTGTAACTACGATATAATAACCTGTGTACAGAGTACAGAGAAATTGTATACTGTACATACACTTTTAATGAATTTCGTCTCGATAATGATTTGTCACGCATAATTCGTAATGGAAAATGCCAAGTATTATGCGTCGATTTCGGGTACAAACTAGTGGTTCGGAATCAACCTATTCATAACATCACTGTTAAATGGATTAGATTTATTGTGTTAAAGTTTGTTTTAAAAATTCTACCGTCCGGAATCGTTCTTTCAGAATAACAACCGAGTTACAAGATGTTGGTTATTTAACATGTTCCCTGCGTTCCCTGCATGACCACTTTGTGTTCACGCTCCCATGTAAAATCATAGGCATTAAAGATGAGCCGCAGCGAACGTGTTAACGAATGTAATCGTTACTTTAAAACTACGAAGACTGTGTAAAAAAACAGGAAATTTTTCGTCGAATCACGAGATTATTTCTAGCGTACGTGGGTGGTCTTTATGCATGCATACTTTTCATACTCCGTTGTACTTGCAAGTGTTCAAATCGGAAGGTGTACACTTGCAAGTGTGCAACTTCTCTGTTTAACACTTCCTTAAATTGCACGCTCCATGTGTATAGAAAAAAATCAATAGAGGAGAAGCACACCTACTTAGTTGGATAGTAGCAAGTATTCAACTTGCTATTGCACCCTTAAATCAGTGTACGAATTTGTATAGGCGTTTTTACAAAATGATGTTATGCCACCGTAAAAAGGCACTTATATTTTATATATGACAAAGCAAAGTTTTGAGGTGTAATAACGATGCATACTGCCTTAGTAATAGTTCGCAGACTTTTGCTGGAGTGATTCTTCCCTAACTAACGCTCACCAAACACGTTTCAGCCCAGCAAACTGGTACAGACCGGGTTAAAAGGCAAAAGCAACAGCGGAATTGAAACATAAAACAGAGAACACATGAGTCATACTTCTGTCTTGCGCGGGTGCATTGCATGGGCATGGCGGCGCTGGTGGCGCTGGCGCAGAACTGCAGCGGAAGAGCAGGCAGCTCAGCTGCAAAACGGCAGTCATGAGGGAGAGGAGGGGGTAATCGCACATCAGGGCTGTAGTGAGCGCCGCGGGGGTGGCGGGACACAATGCAAAGGGGAGCCGGGCGCGCTGGCGGTGTGTGGTGTGAGCGCCGCCCTAGCGCGTCCTCCCGCATCCACCCCGCCCCTGCAATGGGCGTAGCCGGCAGAGGTAGGGGGAGGGGCGGGCACCGAGGCAACCTGGATCCAGGTTGAGTGGCGACGCGACAGCACGGCGGGGTAGGGTAGGGTGGGGTGGCGGGGGAGAGAAGGGCCAAAGTATAGTAGTGGGGAAGGCGTACTACGAGCAGGAGAGGGGCAGGGTGGGTGGCAGGAGGAAAGGGCGGCAGAAATTGCCTCGCGGCGCGTCAAGTAATTTGTACTCGTCTCCCAACAAGGGTGAGGAGCGAGACTGATGGCGCCCAGGTCCCAGACACATCGTTTGGGGTGGCGCGGGGTGGGGTGGGGCAGGGTGAGGCGTGGCGGGGTGCGGCGGCGTGGTCCAGGACAGCACAGGCAGGTGAGCCGGCGACGACGGTGCCCCGAGGGCCGCGAAAAGGCTCAACCACAACGGCACAAGCATTGCGCGCACAGCCTGCGTATCGGCCAGTGGTGGTGGGGTAGGGCTGGTGAGGTAGGGCTGTGGGGTAGGGCTGTGGGGTAGGACTGGTGGGGGTGGTCGGGAGGGTTGCGTGGCGGAGGGGTGTGTGGTGCAGGACGTGGCGGGGCGTGCGTGCCGAGCGCGCGGTGCAGCGAGCGCGAGGCCCCTGGGACCACCGCCACCGCCGGCTGCAGCACTGATCAATAGAGACTTGCCGGCATCACACCGGAAGGGGTATAGGGGAATAAAGAGAGGGGAGGGAGGTTAACTGTGCCCCCGGGGACACACCTGGGGACACGGAGGGGGTGAGTGCATGCGGTAAGCCCCTCGACCGGCAGAGCTGCGCGCATCATATGACCCCGGCTGACCCCTGCTCCGGGCAAACAAGCGACCCCCGTCGTCGGGGGCGGGGTAGGCGTGGTGTGGGGGAGGTCGGCCCACCCCTCGAACCCACCCCTCTGACCCCCTGGAGCAACACGCCGACGGGCATATGCATTCAGGGTCAGGAGAGAGGCGGAGGGTCAGCCATTGGCCGAGGGCTGACGACCGATAAGTTTCGAACATTTTGCTATTGAGGCGAACAGAAAGAAAAATAAATGAATATTTTCTGTACAGTAAAGCAGGTTACACTCCAACCACTTGGAGCTCCTCCACCGTGGAGTCTCCACGTGCGGGCCGCTAAGACGCTCCTCACGTACGGTATATGGGCGCCACGGGGCGGGGCGTCACACGACATAACTTCCACGAGGTGCCACGAGTCCGACTCCCAACAAACATCAGCCCACTGCTTTATTGATGCAAGAACAACAGGCAATTGCCTTGGCAAAGGGTAACTTCAGCAGGGCACAATCGATAGACACTAGTGGTGTCCAATGGTCGGTCGCTCGGCGCCGATGGGTGCCCATCGGGCGAGCGAGAGGGACGGAGCTACTGGCCGGCTAGCGCGTGCAAGAGAGACGGCAGACAGGTGGAGTGGGGGGTTGACCGACCATTGGACATCACTAATAGACACATTCCCCAGGACTGCTCGGCCGCCGGCGCCCACCCACCTCTCCCTCCCATCGGATTACAACTTGGTGCGTCGCGTGATGAGGCGGGGAGGGGCGAACCTCGAGGACCCAGTCGACGTGACACGCATCGCGTCACGCCGCGGAAAGGGAAAGACGCACCGAGTAATATTTTTTTTTCCTGAGCAGGGTACATAAATTCGTCTCCCTTTCTCCTTGAAGTGAAGAGTGAAATTTTTATAAGCTATGCTCACGAAAGGGTGAACTAGCGCACATTACAAAAGTTACAACCCAGAGACTATGGCACAATTAAACTGCAAAAATGACAGTGCTTGGAAAGTCACCTCTTGACCAAGAAAAGTTTCTAATTCGCTCGTACAATGAATAATAATAGCCCACTGCAAAATTGCCAGAGACCTTGTAAAATTACAGTGCTGGGCGCCACATAATTACTACTACTACTTGGAAATTACCACTTTTTTCTTACGAGATAACAAAAATATGGGAAAATTTACCAGTGACTTGTAGATTGACACCAAAATACGCTTCACAATGCCAAAGTGTGCAATACTGCACTTAAAAACTGTAAAACTATTACATGTAATTTTTTATTCCATGTAAAAGTACTAAAAAAAATTACAGTAACGTAAAATTAAAAAGTTTTGGCCAGGCAGCCAGATCCTGTAACGCGGTGCGCGATTTTTAACCCAGATGTCAGATGCATCTGGCGTCGTCCTCCTGTCACCGTCCCCGAAGGACCCGCGTCTGCTAAAACTTGCATGACACCTCCAGAAGGGAGAGGGCAGCGGGATGTATGTAAAACATTGAGCGCATCCGATCGATGTCCAAGCGGCCGGCGCTATCCACCATCATGGAAGATGGGGGGGAGGGGGTGTAACTTCTCCCCTCCAGACTGGAGGAAAAATCCAGCGGTTTATTTGGTGACAGAAAATGTTTTGGTGTAAGTTGCGATATTTGGGGATATTTTAAGAGGATTTTACAGCAGGTTAAGAGTTGGCGTGTGGGTAAGAAACTAAGGCTGTGTGGCCAGAGAGAAGTGGCTTTAGCGCAGCATCACTCCCCCGCTCAAGGGGAAAAGTTCGAGAAACCGAGTGGAGGTGGAGCGAGTTGCGAGGCGGTGGCGAGGTGTGGCAAACAGCGGCCACACAGGTTTAGCACCGCGTCCAAAGCAAGCGAGTTGAGATGGAGATTGGGCTCCTCTACCCTTCGCAAGCCCTGACCAGAGTAAGGAGAAGGTGTACTCACAGTGTACACAGTGTAGGCGTTACTCGGTAAAAGCACAATCAAAGTGAACACCGGTGAACACCGTTCATTGTATGTGGGCAATTAAACGAAATAAAGACTAGCTGAAAACTGAGGTAAAACGTCGTTGTCCATAGCACCGATCGAGTTTCGGCAATCCTCGCCGTGCACGGAGAAAAATAATTAGTTCATCCAACTCATACGTAGGTTGATATAGGAATCACTAACGCTGTTGGGTTGTGAGAACGAACTAATTCGTTGTCTCATCCAAGTGTTCGCTAATGCAACGCAAAATTCGTTGGAGCAGCGAACACATCGCTGAGAGAGCGAAGGCGATCGTTGATTCAACTAAAAACGCTTTCGTTCCAGCAATCAGATTTATTCACTTCGTCAACGATCTATTCGCTCTCACAACTAAGAATTCGTTCTACCAGCAAACGCTTGATTAAAACAACGGATATTTTGTTCCCACAACGAGTTCTTTTTGCAAGCTCCAAATCAACTCAAACATGGGTTGAAGCAACGAATTATTTTTTTCCGTGTGCATACAGAATTGAGGCATCAGTACATACATAGCCAAGGTGTGGGACACATTTCTTCGGGAGCCCCCCAAAAATAGTTGTACAACGAATTTGCAAGGTGACGAGTTAAAGAAGGCGCGAGTTGAGCGCAATAGTTCGCGAGATTGAGCTTTGCACGATTTTTCGGGATAGTTTTCGAGAATTGTGCGTGAGGAAGTGTACATTAAGTTGGTGGTGGAGAGGGGGGGGGGGCATCGTATTCCTACTGGTAGATGAATGGATACAAATTTTCTTATTTTTCGTCTACGGTCATTACACTCTTAGTTCCTAACGAACAGCAGTCTTCATATTGTGAAGAATTGGGTTAGTAATGTACAAAGGATCTAGAACTGCCATATTACAAAGAATTTCTTCGTATTACAAAGAGCACTACTTTCATAAGACACGTGCTCTTCGTATTCCTATTACGAAGCCAAACCCTTCGTAGTACAAAGAGTTTATTTGTATTCACTGTAAAAAAATGAAGTCGTAAATTTATAAAAATTTTGTGAACTCGAACTATAATCTAAGTTGTAAATTTACGAGAGCACCCTTTTTTTTACTCGCCAATAGATTTAAGTCGATACGTACTGCAAGCACAGCAATTTACTGGAACTTGGCGCCTGCGAGACTCGGGTAGGCCACCCCGCACTACACGTATGCACTACAAGCAAGATCTTGCATACCCATCAGGCGCTATGAGACCTTTCATCTTGCATTGGATAAACTTCGTAATTTCGTAACGGCAGATAACGGACGCAATTTTGGATGATCCAGCCAAAAGAAGGGCGACACTATAAGCTATATACTGATACATGAAGTGTTCAACTGGCGTGCACAAGCAAGTGGTCAACACATGTTGCACACTCGTAAGTGTTGGACAGGATATGTCAATACGCCGAAATTTTTAACAGTAAATTTGAACACTTTAATAGCTCCAATGATTCATAGCCAACCCTGATGTTGAACTTTTTAAGTGTTCAAATTTACTGTTAAACACTAAGTATTTAAATATCCAGTCAAACACTTGGAGGAGTGCAACATAATGTTGAGCACTTATACGTACACGCCAGTTGCAAACATCATTGATCAGTGTAGATTCCTTCGCCCAAATACATTTCGTATTGTACAAAATGTCAGCCTCTTTTTGTTTTTTCATGGGTAAGTTGTCGAAGAAAAACCCTCATACCAAAGTTGTGCTTTTTGCTGTCTCCCACCATTCAGGCACTCTAGGAAATTTCTGCTACTAAAATGACAAATAACTAGTGTTTTCCACCTGTTCAACGGTTCCGTGAGGGGTAACTCGGTAAGATAAGAGCTCTGTTTTGATCCAAAAAGTGCAGGAAGCAACACTCGCCGAAACCACGCACTATGGATCGAAATCACCGCTCGAAAGCAATGTGCCTTCGACCTGCAGCAGTCAGAAAAATTGCACCAAAATACACTAAATGTACACTGTGAGAAAAACTTGCAAGAATTACAGGAAAATTGTCCATGATGTGTGCGGTAAAATTACAATTGGAAATTGCAAAACTCCGTCCGTCTGTGTCGACCTGGAATTCATTGACGTGGTAAATTTGAGAATACAAAGAAATTTTTGATGTATTTATTTTTTAAAAATCGCCAGAAAGACACGAACGAAGACTAACTGCGAAACAAATTCCTTTGTAATGCGAAGAAATTCCTTCGTATACAAAAACCTACAGTCTTACAAAACCATCCAAATCCTTCGCATTATGAAACCCAATCCGTCACAAGATGTTATCAGTAATAGCAAGCGATGAAAAGATAGAAAAAAATTGAAAAAATACTGTTGAATTCCTGCTAAGCAATGCAGACGCTTTGCAAATTGCGAAAGGATTTATGGGTGGTTTGTAGACCACGAAGCTTTACTTTGCAATTATTTCGAAGCAGTACTTTGCTTGCTGCAGATACGTCTTTGCAAATGCAATGTAAATGCCTTTGAAGTCTACAAAACGTGCGTCGTAGGGAATTAACAGTGAGATATTTGCGACTGAGAACGGTAAACATTTGTCTACAATGAAATGAGTACAAACACGCCGTCACAGATTTTATCTTTGAAAAGTCATTCAACACTTAACAGCAACAGCCTCTTCCTTTCCATTGCGTTGTAGCAAATAATCAACATTGCCCTCTCACGAGCTGCAAATACCCCAAGCGCAGAGAGGCCCCTACCGTCGAGCAGCGCTACCCCGCGGCTTGGCGATACTCCCTAGCCCGAATATGCCAGGTCCCGGACAACACTGGCTTTACCAACCGCGAGGCCTCTGTTGGCCCAATAACCGAAACTACTAGGCAAATTTCCAGCTTATGGCTGAGCTCAGGTTTCTCACGCATTACGTTTCTATGAGATTTATATCTGTTTCATGGTGTGTCATACACCAAAGAAGCAGGGCGGGTTGTTGTAGAGGCGGCGAAATGAGAGGCCTTAATCATGGAAACTCGTTACATGACCCATCGGCGAAACTCAGTGGTTTGTGGTTCATGCCGGTTTAGGCGACAGTATCCGCCTTAGGGCCTGGCATTATTTAAAAGTTAAAATTTTAAGTATGCAAGTATGCAGGAGGGAGTGTGTACTTGGTCAAGAACACACTAAAAACCCAATACATTTATGCAGGAGATCACTTCCCGAGGTGTCAACTAATTGACAGTAATTATGAGGCTACGTTTTGAAAGAAACTAGAGCAGAAATTAAACATAAGCTCCTTACTTAAACATTCAAATGAGTACGTATACTTGCAGGTATAAATAAATAGATAGAATTAAAGATGCAAACATTTCACTTGATTCAAAACATTTGGTTCGCTCGGCAAAATAACGAAATTTCTCAAAATAAACGTTTGTAATAATACATGTACGTTGTAAAAAGAAAAAGTTAAACACTGACAGCAAAGAAATTTAATTGCTGAAATGCTCACTTAAAAATATATACCTCACACCAAATGGTATGAGGCAAACATACCTCACACCTGAGTTTCCAGAGTGGGAATCACAAAGTGCATTTTATCAAACGGAAAAGTGTGAAAGTACCACATCCAGCCAGAATTGCAGTGTTCGCGTATTTTAATGAGGTAAATGCAACGAAACGCCACATTTTAAAGAAAGAAGAAAACGGTGTTTTTTTTTGTTGTTTTTTTTTGGGGGGGGGTCTCAACTATCAAGAGTGGTCGATGCGTGATTGGGTTAATTGTGAAAATGGTGATGAACGGTGCGGGCAGTTTATCACAAATGTGCCCCAGAACATCGTCGGCGTCGCGAGAGGGGCTCGGTTGGGGATAGCTGGCATTCAGTAATAATGCAACACGTTCCACCGCCGCCCGGGTCCGTTTGACAGGTTGCGTGCGGCCGCGCCTGGCAGACCTCCGCCTGGCCTCTTAGCGGAGTGGCAAGGCCTCCGCCGGGCCTCCGCCGATTTACTTGCCCTTTCTCCATTTCCACTCCTCTTTTCACTACGAAATAAAATGGGGGGGGGGGGATTCCAAAAGCAGACGGGGCGCCAAAAACACAAGTGCCATAAGGTACTCGAAAGGTTTGCTGCAGCAAAAGGAGAAGAAAGACTGTCACAGACCGACGGCCAAGCGCCCCGGGAGCGCCGCCGGTCCGGGGCCGCCACCCGCCCGCACCCGCTCACCCTCGCTCAGTTTCGAACTTGGGATAGTCTTCAACAAGGATTCAACAAGGATTCCACTTGGGTCTCTGGCCAGACATAAGTAGCTCGGCGCATTGGCGCATACGGCTCGCGAATATTTAATCTGAGTGGAGCCCGTGCATCATCCCACGCCCACGACAGGATGCTCAAAGCGTCGAGAAAAATGCCATAGAGCGATACGCTTCTGACTTACGTTTTCGATCTACTCCTTGCACATCCCGGCATTACCCTATTGGAAAATATTTGAAAGATTTCTTGTTCCCGAGGCAGGGGCAATAACTCTCGGAATCATGTGTACACCAGCCCGGGAATAAAAGGGAATCAACGAGAATCGCGACAGATATCAACGGGAATCAACGGGAATCAACGGGAATCCAGTGATTTCGGGAATCAGGTGTACACTCAAATTCGGAGTTATTGCCCGTCGCCTGTTCCAATGTGAAGTTTATCAAACACTCTCAGACCTGTACTGATTTATTTCTTAGTAAGTTTAAGAGGTTAAGCAGCAGCAATACTAACAAATGGATCGAAAGAAAAATCAGTAACAGAATGGGAGTGAACTTTTCACTGCACTGAAATCAAATAAGGCATTTTTTGTGACCACCTCATCCGATTTCAAATACTTGTCTTTGGTGTCTTTCAGAGTTGTACTCTGGAAACCCAAGCATGTACTTGAATGCAGTATCTCCTCCATACCTACATGTATGCAGGAGGTCCTCTTGGCAAGTATGCAGGAGGTTTAGTGTGTACTGGGTCAAGTACACACTAAATCTCCTGCATAAATGTATGGAGGTTTTAATGTATCCTTGACCAAGTACACACTACCTCCTGCATAATCTCTGAGTACACAGGATCTCCTGCAAATCGGGTATGCAGGAGATACTCCATTCATGTGCACACTTGGGTTTCCAGAGTATCCTGTGTTTTTGAGGGAATTTTAATAGAACTGCGGGTGAGATTACGAAAACGTGGAGAGGGGAGGGGGGCTGCCTTGGGGTTGTTGGTTCGGCTGAGCTGCTAGGAGGGGTAGGGGGGTAGGTAGGGAGTAGGGGTGTAGGGCAGAAACGGAAGGCAAGAGGGGATTGATCCCCGCTCCACCACCTCACGGGACGGGCGGGATGAAAAGTTAATGGTGTGGGAGCACACCTCACCTCGGTGTGCTCAGTCAGCTCCGCAAGCACGCCGAGGGTTTGGCCAGTGGTGCGCCGACACTCCCCATGGGCTCGTGGGCCAGGGCTTCAGCTAGGGCCAGCCGTCATGAGGCGCACCGCCTGCCTGCTTCTCGCCATGGGGCTCATCGCTGCCGGTTGTTATCCGCCTTGTGCTTTTCTTTCATACTCGGAAAATTTGCTGATGAAATTAATTCAAATTAAAATTTGTTTACTTTTGGCAGCGGGCGGCCTGCGCTGCTACGTGTGCAACTCTAAGGCAGACAGCCGGTGCGCGGATCCCATGCAAGTCGCGGAGGAAAGCGAGGACCAAAACGACGGCAAGCAGCAGCAGAGCGGTGGCGGCGGCGGCAGCAGCAACGGCGGTGGCAGCGGCGGGGGACGCTACGACGAGCAGCAGCAGGGGCTGCAGATGGTGGACTGCAAGGTGGCGCACAGCGTGCGGCAGGCCATGGACGCGGTGAGAACCAGGACAGGAGTCCTTCACCCCCACCCCCACAGATGTAACATAAGTGATGAGAAATGATCAGGTGAAATGATGCAGGTGTCGAATTTTCTATGAGCAACGCATAAAAAAGAACACAACAATATTTAGTGTGTTACCACAAGCTCCCAGCAAGCTCCCAGAACCACTCTCCTTGCTTGCCTTTCTCGGTCCTTCCTGAGATGCAAACATGTAGTGTAATAGTTTTAATCGCATTTAGTGCAGAGATGACGAAGTCCAGTACTGTAATGCGTCCTGGTTGTCGACTGACGCGCAGGTCAACGGGCTGCTCTCCCGGCTGGGCCAGAGGGCGCCGGGCGGCGGCGACGTCTGGGCGGCCGTGCGCGCGTCCAACCAGCTCACCTCCCAGACGGGGTCCTCGGGGTCGGGCGGGCTGCTGGGCCCGCGGGGCCAGACGGAGCAGCGCGACCAGCGCGACCAGCGCGGGCACAACGAGCAGGAGTCCAACGCCGCGTGCCACAAGGTGGACATGGAAGGTGAGTGCGCCGTCGTCCATTTCCCAGGACGACGGTCACCTCTCAGACCTCCTCCCTCCTGCGCAGTGGACGGCGAGATGGTGACGGACCGCGGGTGCGCCCCGGGACGCGTTTACGGCCAGGAGCCCTGCGACGCGCTCTCCGCCGCCCTGGGGGACACGGAGTTCTGCGAGCTCTGCGACGGCGACGGCTGCAACGCCGCCAGCCTGGCCAGAGCCTCGCTCAGCGTGGCGGCGGCCGTGTTCATGCTCCACGGCCTGCTCCTGCGGCACGGCGCCCGCCCATGAGGAGTAGTGGAGCCGACACGACGGGGCCGCCGCACCATCCTGCATGCCGCGCACTTTGTGACGATGCGGCGGTGTTCCGCAAAATGTCTCCACGTCCGCTTCAGCATGACGCCGCCGCGCAGCTAGGCCACCCAACGTGCGGCGGCCACGCCCACGCGGGCGCGCGTACTCCAAGCTGTACCCGCGGCAGGGCGGGCGCCGCACCTCACCTCGTTAGAGGCCCGCGGTGCGCGTAATTAGAGGACATCCTCTAACGCCTTTTCTTTCTGCGACCGCTTTCCAACCTGAACGCGCACACACACGCACTCACAAACACACTCTCACACACACACGGACTCACACACACGCACTCGCTACACTAAATATTTTTTTTAAAGATACGCACTGTTATGGTAACCCGCGATAATAGGCCGGTTTGTGTGACGGCGTGCGAACTCGCAACCCTCGTAACCAAGCGAAAGGACGGTTGTACCGCCAATAGCCGAGGCGATATAAGCAGGGGTTTCAGAGAGCAGACGACGCGCGTGCCGCAACGGTGGGACCTCTCGCTCGCACTCACGCTCGTCGCACTGGTTCCGTCTCTCTCGCTCCGGACCAGAGTGGCCCGCGGGCCGCGTCTCAGAGCTGAGACCTGTGCGATAGGGCAGCGATTCGCAGCCTCCCACGCCGAGACGCCCTGAAACCTTCGGTGAAAGTACATCATATCAGCGCCTGGTGCGTATAAGCCCGGGCCGGCTGGTCGTGCAACCCGACGCCGCCAGTGAGCGTCGCATTACCCGAAAGCCTCCCCCGACATGGGGGCGGGCTTGAGCCGGGCTTGAGCCGGCCTGGAGGTGCCATGGCATGACAAGAGGACATAGCCCTGCACCGGCCCATCCCCGCCCGCCCCGCCGCGCCCGCCGCGCCCCGCCCACACCGCCGCCGCTGCCCAGGACGAGAAGGCGGCCGTGGCGCGGAGTGGCGCCGAGGCGGACGGGACCCGCGCCGCTACAGGGGCGGCCTGCAGTGCCAGCCCAGCCGCCAGCCCAGCCAGCAGCCAGTCGTCCGCAGAACGCCCAGCTCAGCTCAACCGCCGTCACCATGGACCGCACCGTGTTGCTCCTCCTCCAGGCCCTGTGCGCCGTGGCCCTCCTGGTCTCCGGTGAGTACTGCGCGCCACACAGTTTCACTACTCGCCTAGTCGAACTTTAGACAGTTTCTGGTTACATGTACGCCCACAGCTGGGCGAAAAAATGTCGCCCAGAATAATGGACGAACGTTCCCAGCCAACGTAGGTTTTGGTGACAATTCCATTGCGGTGATTCTGCCGGAAAATCGGCTTAAGCGACCAATAGCACAGGCCTAGGTCTAGCGGGTGGTTCCTTTGTCCGATTTTTGCAAATAACCCGACGGTAAATCAACAGTGTCCGGTGGGACATTTAGATCAGCGGGTAGCGATTCGAGTCCAAGAGTGTGCGTGATCCGTAACGGCGCCGCGCGAGTCAGAGGGAATAATGAAATCATGGAGCAGGCCGGCGATAAGGCGCGAGGGGCCGCGAGGGGGCCGCACCCCAAGGGCCCGGGGCGGGGGTTCGGTGACCGGCTGCCGTCCTCCCCCTCGGGTCAAACCCATGGCGTGCCGCCTCAGTCTGTGTCCGTGTGCGTCTGTAAGTGTGTGTGTGTGTGTGTGTGTGTGTGTGTGTGCGGACAGGTTCCAAGGATGCGCGTGTACGTGGCGAGTGTGTGTGTGAGTTGTTATTTGCCATTCTTTTGAGCCTGCCCGCCCCCGCCGACCAATAATGCCCCCCTGACAAACAAAGCGATATACATTTTGTCTTTGTAGTGGCGGGTGCGATGTCACCGTCACACAGCCTGTCGCAGGGGCAGTAGCAGCGAGGTTGTACCTTGTGTATCTTAGAATGCGCCTCAAAATGAAAACAAAAGTGTGCAACTGGCATCCACTTGGTAGTGTTCAACTCTATGGGCACACTCTTAGGTGTTGGGTTGGAAATTGAAATATGTACGTAAGTGTTCAGCAATAAATTTTAACTCTGTAGTCATAGCCAACACTGGAGTCACTAAGTGGTCGACTTTACTCTTTAGTATTCAAATATCCAGTCAAACGCTTAAAAGTGAGCACCGCCTGAACACTTGCACGTACACGCCAGTTGCACACTGTATTTACCAGTGCAGTGCAGTGTTGGGGCAACTGATCCACCTGAACGCACAAAAATGAATGAATCATCGGAACAGGAACACCCGATGGCGACGGCTGGATGCGAATTATGGGTGAATGAATGAATGAATGAATGAATGAATGAATGAATGAATGAGCTATTAAATATTTACAAATAAATGCAATAAAGAAACAATTACTGACTGGTTGACCTAATTAACTGGTGGTGGAGTTAGTTTTCGGCTTGTGAGACGTGTCGGCGTATTATCAAGGAAATCGCTGGTTGTAGGTTAGCGTCTTCCCCCGCGTCCAGTGAGGCCGTTGTGGTGCAGGTGTGTTGTTGTGCCCGGCCGAGCCCGGCCGCGCGCCCACTCCCGAAGCTAGGCCCGTCGCACCGCGGCCCGCGCTATTCTGGTCGTGGCCGAGCGTCCTCCCAGAGCTCGTCCACTATAGGTCCTGTCGTGGTCCTGACCGAGCCAACGGCGGGCGGGGCGTTCAGCCGCCGAGTAGCCTAAGTGCACTTTAGAAGTGCTCGTGTAGAGTTGATGTTCAGGAGGAGTGGTTGGGGCCGTGTGAGTAAAGGTGAAGACGGGGCGATGTTTGGTGGGCTACAGGCGCATGTTGCCCACTTTTAGGCGTCACGGGCGGCCAGGCTGTCAGCCGCCCCGGGCGCTGCTCCGCGTGCTGGGCACTGGCGGGCACACGGCAGGCACGGCAGGCGCGGCAGGCACCGCGCCCATCTCCCGTGGGCGTGGGCGCGAGCGGGGCCCCGTCGGGGCACGGCAGAGCGCGCTCAAAGTGCTGGCGCTGCTCGCGCCTACCAGGACCAGAGCCTCCGGTGCCTCGCCGTGCCCCTCCGGACCTGTCGTGCCTACCATTCATAACACAGACGGCGCCCTGTCGCCACGCAGCTACGTGTAGGAAACGACTGCAATTACATATTCTCATTGTGCCAGCCCGAGTCACTGCAGCCGTTAGCCCGGCCCTCCGCCCCACAGGGGAGGGGGGCAGGAGAAAGGGGAGGCGGGCGCAGGAAACGGCAGCTTACTCGCGGGAGCCCCGGCCCGGCCCGCCGCCGGCCAGGTGCCGCACTGTCTCTGCTGCCCGGCCCGGCCCCGCTCGGCTGCAGCAGGGCAGAGCAGGGCACGCGCATGCGGGGGCGTGGTGGCCCGCGTCAATGAAGTTAAACCGCGTGTGTGATTCACTCCGGGGGAGAGAGAGCGGGGCAGACGGCCTCAAGTGCCCCAATCGAGAGGGGGCCAGACAGAGAGGGAGGCGCGCTGGCCGCCGCGCCGGCCGCGCACACATGCGTGACATGCGGGCGTATGTCGCGTGCTGCGCGTGCCGACCG